GGTACAACAGTTGCTAGTAAAGTTTTTTGATACCGAATTGATTACAAATGAAAAAAATAGCAAGAGAACCATTAATGAAGCTCAAAGCAAAAGTTCCCCACGAAAAAGGAAGGGGCGGGGCCGGACGAGTTGTACGAACTTGCCTGCTCCACGGCTCAACTAACCCGCGCGTATTTGAATTAGCCGCTACGCCGTAATCCACGTTGCGTGTCATGGGGTGTGCGCGACGTAACTCGTCCAAATGCTAAGATTAGTCGCCAAATGCTGACTTTGTAAGACCCTAGCGCCATTGTCGCGCACTTTCGAGCCGCGACAACGGCACATCTGTGCTACTTGTGGGCTACTCTATCCCACCCACTGAATAGATTCTTCGACACAGCTACTGGGGTGTTGTTTCAAGAGTTGGAGTCTGTTTAAAGTTCGGCAAGTTTTCTACGTACGGCATGAAGTTGTGATCTAGTGGAAACCTCGTTGTTTGCAACAAACAAATTGTCTTGAGTAAAGCTGAGCATCCGGGAATAGAGGTTTCCGCTTTAACGTTGCAAAGAACTTGTGCAGGTCCCGCGTCATTCACTCCTATGCTGGTACTTGAGGTTTCGAGAACCGTGCAGTTCATTGGCCAACTCGCAATTCATATAGTGCGAAACTTTTTCGAGGCGAGCTGTTTCTATGTTGTGTCAATTTAGGATCCAGTTCTTGTATTTAAGTGCTATTTCTAACACTTTTTCCATGACGCTCTTCAGACATAGTTCATCCAGCTGGCACGTTACCGGTTCAGATGTTGCCAAATTATTGCCGAAAATCAGCGGTCGATTCCCGACCGTAAGCATGTTTTCTCATGCACTCAACAGCTGTAAAGTGACAAGTGCTTCCATTCGATCAAATTGCCAGCAACTTTCTTGTTTTCAAGGAGCGAGAAAATTCCTCATCCTTCACTATATATGATTGTTTGGTTAACTAAGCGCTGCGATTGATTCTATTACTGACCTGAATAGGCTCTCGAACTATTTTTTTTTCCAAAAATGAAATTGTTGATTTTGATGCGGAAATTTATTGCCTCATCAATTAAAGTCACTTTTTCTCAGTAGTGTTCTATCTCGGAGTCTTATAAGCATCTGAATGGTGAGTTACACAAAAAAACCATCGAAATGTATTTCCAAAAGATTTTCAGGGGATCTCGAAAGCATCAAATTAGGTCCAAAATCATGCTCCTGAAGGAATCCTTTTCGACCTTTGTTTCGAGGTATCTGCAGTTTTTTTGGAATTCTTGTTATTTCTGGAGCCTTTGTGTAATTCAGTATTCGAAATCACCTGTGGAATAGTTTTCTCTTTGTACCGTACCTATTGCCGTTGACTAGTCACGTAGGCGAAGCAGTAGCGACGATAATTTGACATACAGTAACTTGACATTTGCGATCAAAGGGTGGTCTGGTGGTTGCGGAACGGTTCTGTTGTTGGTAATCGCGGACTGTAATTGGTAATCGTTCATTCGTTACATTTGAACTTTTGCACAGGATTGCTTGTTAGTGGGTAGGGGTGAGGATGATGTATAGAAGTACCGAAGAATAGTCGCGACAATGAGCTGTCACTAAATAAAGTGACATTTATAAGTACAAATGCAAAGTGCTGATCATACGTCAATTAGACCAACTGTCAAACGCGTGGTTAGCTTGACCGCAGAGTTTTTTGAAGGTATGGGATATTTACTATGGAACATAACCTCTGTCGCCGAGTCATTAGTGTCGGAGAAGGAACAGCATTCGGATTTAAACATTAGCATTAGCGCTTTTTCACATACGACGTCACTGCAAGCCCGACTTCATGGAAGATTTTATCTATAATGTTTGTCCGTGGTGCCGATTTGCTTGCTTGTTTGTGGAATGTTGGTCTCGTGGAAACCAGTCATTTTACAGTTCGAACAGAGATTGAGCTTCAAGTGTGTTATTTATTTGGCATGTTTATACGCCTCCAGACAGTTCCAATACGTCAAGGGAATGGAAAAGGACAGACAAGGGTAGTTTTTATAGCGGAAGCTGTTAGAAAATATATTTTTTCTTCACCCTAAGGTTAAAGACGGAGCTTACGATTAGAACGAAGTCGTAGAGGATTCAAATGAGAACTAGATGATCAGTGGCGCCGGGATGAAGAAAAATCATGAAACAGCCCAGAGTCCAAAGAAGGACCCCTTCCTTGATCGTTGATTTCGTATATGCGAATGCCTATCCGGTTGCATACCACTCTTCACGTAACACTCTCGCTAAAGGATGGAGACTGGCGGCGAGTGGGGGTAGCAGCAGGCGATGGGCGTAAGCGCCGAATAGGCCGCAGTGAGGCATGCTGGTAGGTGCGGAAGGCATTTTCCTGGGAAATCGCGTTCTCAATTTACGCAGGTGCATAGGGATCGAATTGTTTTTTTTTAATCTATGATTAAGTTTCACGCTGGTTCTGACTCATCGGAGAAATTCGCCAATAGAAGAAGACGTTCTGCTCGAGTTTTTCATGTTGTTGGGGCACAAAATCGGGTTTATTTCTGCTGAGTGGCTTTAGAAATGTCGGAAAGGTGGGGAAAATTTTCATGGAAACTGTAGTCTAAATGATTTTATGCAATGTGTCAACAGGGCGGATTGTTTGCATATCAAAGGGAACGATTAAAGGTACAGGACAAGCGTAACAGAACAGAGTTCAAAGATTGGATAACATTGGGATATCCTAACCATAAGTCATTTGACCACTCCTTTCGTAAGTTCTTAGAAATTCTCAACGAACCCGGTTCTGTGGTGCATCTACATAAATGCCTCTGCGAAAGCTGTCAGAAGAGAAAAGGTGCACGTCTCTAAAGGAGGGTCCTACGATAAGGTCTCAGGTTGAAGAAGGGGAAATGTAACTAGCAGGGGTTGCGGGCTTAAAGGTGCGGGACGATGCGGTTTTGCAGCGAAGAATCCAGTGAGCAAGGCCCACCTGCCCGCCCATCCCTTACCGTCTGACTCTGGCCGCTCTAGCCGAGAGAGCGTTAGTGTTGATGAGGTCGACACTGATGAGATACGGCTAACACGCAAATCAATGAAAAGGAGCTCATTTTCGAATTATAGAAGTTTTTCAGTTTTTTCTCCATCCCTGAGTCACTGATCACCTCTACCTTGGTTTCTACCGGACTGCGTTTTGATTATAAACTCCGCCTTCAATGAACGCCCGTGTAAAAAGCCAGTGTTTATTTCCCTGACGAAGTGTCGCCCATGTGGTTTGCCTTTTGTTCCTTCTCTCAGAATCGAACATGTGGTAGGAAAGTAAGGAATATTGCTCGATTCCGCGAACATGCAATTAACTCATGTAATGTGGTGGTTTTGCGAGCATTCCTGGCGGACGAGCGGATGATGTCTCAGCTGATGTTGAATAGCCTTTCATGAACCCTACAAGTGCTGCAGGAATTCAAATTTCGTATCAGAATTAACAACGGTTTCGGCGCAATGGTAAAGAGGCGGGGAAGGGGCAGGAGGGTGCTAAAGTTGCTAGCAACATTGCTCCCAGAAAGTATACTTTTCCTGAATTTATTTAATTTTAATTCTGTAGTGGGATCTATTTGACTCATAGGGAATGAAGTGATATTACGCATGGCCCGCCTTACTGGAATTAATTTATAAATTTTTTAATGTGCGACAAATCTAATTATAACTTTTATACCTAAGTGGAGGAAATATGTAGTTCAGGTAGTTCAGGGAGGATTGCTAGATGTACCGAGGAAAATCGTTCTTTGGGGGCAAACGGAAGTGACCACATATCTACAGTTCAGTGGCGAAACTGTTCAGAAAGAGCTGTCAACTTCCATTTCCTTTATGTTTTTTCATCTCGTTGTCTGTGCCATGTGATTTTCATTTAGGGGAACGCTGTGCCTCATACTTCCTTGCTAAGGAAGATAGTTGAATGAGATCAGCTACCGACTTGTGTTAAACCTGAGGGGTGGGAGCTAGTTGGATTGGGTACGGGCTGGAAGCAGTGGGTACTCGACAGGAGGCCCGTCGCGCTGCATGAAGACAGAGTCAGTGGATGAGTCGCGGCGCCTGATGTGCAATGTAATAAGTAACGAAATCACTACAGTACGCGCTGCGTCCACTGACTCTGCCTAGTTGCGCGACGGGCCTCCTGTCGGGTACTCGGGATCAGTAACTACTCTTAAGCGAATACACTGGCCGTTTTTTTCTCGAAGGCAATTAACTTCTAAGCGTTTATATGTACTCCTCGCGAATGTTACCTGATATTGGTTTTGCTCCTTGATTCATAATTAGGCCCTTTTTTTTGTAATAATTTAATTACTTCATCTATCATTTCGGGAGTTGGTTCAATAAAAGTCCCCAATGAAATGGTGGTGAAGGTATGAGCCCAGTTGTTCGTTCTAATTCTATTATATTGAAATTACCAGTTGAGGGAACTCGGTGACAGTTTTTTTTGAACAAGATATTAATACTTGATTCCTCAACCCTCGCGAATGTTACCTAAGGATTTTCCGTGCCCAAAACTATGAATTCTGCAACTCTCAAAATTACCGTTGTTAATGTTAAAAGCGACCTTCCCGCAGTCAATTCATCTCATCGTAGTAGTTCATGATCATGAAACGAAATCTAGATAAAATCACTAAGTACGTTACTAACGCCACCGAAGTGCTGGTCGCCCTGATATTCATGGGCCTACAACATAAGAAAAGGAGTACTGTCATTTTTGGCTCGAAAACTTTTACGTCCTGATATGCATGTACTGTCATTTTTGGCTCGAAAACTTTTACGTCCTGATGCATAGGGCCGAGGGGAGCAGCAGTCGTAAAGTAACATACCTAATCGAGAGCATTCATCGAGGTGATCAGGTGTTCAGGTGTTCGCTGTTGGGTTCTGTTTCGAAATCAAGTCTGAATTACATCATTGCCAATCGCGACCACTGCAGTTCCTTGCTATTGATTGGTAGCGATTTTACTGTTTCTGTTCATCCCGCAGCTCTCAAGTACTGTTGTAGGACCGTTTCTGAAGTTACCGTAACTACGGACAACGATCACTGTGATTCTCCATCACTTCATTTAATAGACCCAGGTAAATCTACGCGCACCACTTGGGGTTGGTTCAGCATTTTGGGTGAAATATTATTGACGCTGGGCACGATGAGCTAGGCATCTTCAAGTTGTTTCCCGTTCCGGTTTTTTATTCGGGTTCAAAATTCTGTTCTTCTGAGGGTGTGACCAATTCATCTGGAAAGGGAACTGATCATTAGCTGTCCCGGCAGGTTCATGGTTCAGCACAACCTGTGCACGGTTCGCAAGTGTGGTACTGATTGTGCTGGACATAGGAGGGTGTTACTCGTTCACTTCATCTTCACATCATCCCGATTCCGGTCATTCAGTCTGATAAAAATGTAAGGTTCCATACAGTTTGATGGTTCGAGTAGTTACTTTCCTATCATTCCATTGAGCAGTTGCATGAACAAATCCTGACCTCTCCTCGTGCTGCCATGATCATCTATTTTTTTAGGCAGGCAGTTTTCTTGTTCTGAAGATTGTTTTGAGGGTCATGCGTTCCCGGCGCCGGAAGGCACGGTGCACCTCTTTCCTAATGATTTGAGACTTTGAATTCAATTCGAGGGCATGACGCTTTCAAGGAATTGTTCAATGGGGTGAACTAGTTAATATCTTTGTTTTAAGCTGGCTTACATTAGGTAATAGGAGGAGTAGTAAACTATTCCGCTTCATACTTTCTTTTTTTCAAGCCTGGTTGTAGTGTTTCTACTTCTTTCCTTTTATTCAGCAAGGCCCGGCGCTTTGTCTAAACATTTATTGGTCCATAGGAGTTCTTTCATTCACTTTCTATTTTTTAACGGGTAGAAAACACTATCGTAAATGCCAAAAGAACTGACCATAGCAGCATTCCTTTTCTGCTGGAATTTTGCATGGGATCAGTTGTTTTGAGAGTTCCCGAATTCTGTTCTCCAAGCTCATGACCTTCTGTGATTTTTCTGTTTTCTGACCTCTATCTTATATCCTTCTTCACTTGAGCATAGTAGATCCCTTTGCCAGGCCTGTGCCTAATCGTGAACGTTGAATGTTTTCGACGTTCGGTGTGTCTTGGCGAGAAGCGCTCGTCGGGGCGCCTTCACTACCGACCGGCGCCGCAGCCGTCACTACCAGTCGAGCAGCCCGGCCCGGTTATTGTTGTTTTGGTCGAGTTTTAGATGTGTTGACTCTCTAGTTTTCCATTCGTTGTCTGAACGTCATAGTTTCGCATGCTCCATCGCCGCATGCTCTCCTCACCTACACTCGCTTATCAATCCCAGCGGTTGCTGCTGCTGTGGCTGCGTCGGCGGCGTATCTTCTCGCTGTTACCAGTACATCTACTTTAGTTACCTATATTCCCTTGGTTACTTAACTTACCTAACTTCTGACGAGGTAACATTTTGAAATCGCTTTGATAACACGGTCATTCCAGCCATTTACTTTGATGTCTGTCTGTTTTTTAGCCCCGATTTCCGGCTGTTGAGCAGTCAAAACAACACATATCAGTGAAATTCCAGATATTTGTTCATGGACTTTCTACCGAACTTTTCTATGCTATGATCTTCACTGACATCTGACTTGATTTTTTTAGTGGGAATCTTCTTAGCATCTGGTCCAATAAACGCATGCGACTTCTTTACAACAACTTGGTTTTATCCGATTTCTCTCTCTTTCTCTCATCGAGTTCCACCTTTGATACCTCATCTTGCGATTCGGAACGTTCTGATCAAGGAGGGAGAATGGAATCAACCAGAACTCGCCCCGTTCATTTATCCTCTAGTCCTTCAACATATGTATATGGACATAGATACGTGCATGATAGCGTATTCAAGGGAACCATTCACACTTTCTGCTTTTAAAAAGGTCCATTAAGCTTGGGTGAAGTGTGATGGTAAAGGACGTCTATCAAATACATTTAGTACTCATTTTACGGTTTAATCGCTCAGACGTGATAATTGGGCGAATTCACTGTGGTCCTGGAACTCGGCAATTTTTCCCGACAGAAATGTGGAATCAATCTTCACTTGGTGTACAGTTGGTAAAAGAAAGCTGTGAAGACAGTGCGTGTCTATTCAAATAGTATCCTTGACCTTGATGGCCACTGGCTGCTCTCTCAGCAAAACTACTGTTCATACATACATCATAGAATTTTTCGTGAACGCCATTCGCTGAAATGTGGACTAGGTGCTTGGGTTGAAGTCGAAGATTAAAGGCGTGGTTCGAATTGAAGGTGAACTTTGAGAGGAATGCGTGATTTCTATGGATAAGCCACGTGCTCTATTCGTCCAGAAAGCTTGAATTCATCTATTTTGGAATTAGACAAGCACCGTTTGAATTTCCGCCTCTTCCAATTTGAGAGTCGATTCTAAAGATTGAGGAACACTTCAAGGCGTTCATAGCCGCTATTTCGGTTACGTGCCAAGTGTTTGGCTACGGTACAAAAGTTGGAGGATTCAGCGATTCCGCCGTATGACAGTGCATTCGGAGTTTGATGTCCGATGGTAGTCTAGGACGTAGGGTTTTGTTGAAGAGTTAGCGTACGTAAAGGAAATGTTGAAAGCTTGTCATTCAACTTTTTATAGAATCGAATTTAGGCAGAAGAGGTTAGACCTTTCTAAGGGCTTTCAGAAACTCGGCCAGAGAGATTAAAGTCGTGTGAGATTTCAGAAAGGCCTAAGAATACGAGATCAGGGAACTGAATCACCATGCGCTATTTATAAGTGGTGAAGGTCGGCCGTTAAAGGCAGCGATCACGATAAGTTCAAGAAGGGTTTAGTGTGACGTGGTGGTGCTCAATGGTACGCCAGTGGCGAAAAAAGCAGAGAAATCCGTCAAGAAAACGCAAAACGGGACCCCTTTTTTGGCCGTTGGTTTTCATGAACAGGTAACAGCTCAGAAAGCGGACGTATGAACGAGTTCACCGCAACGCGTTTGGTGGCACCATGCCAAACCACGCTCCAATCGAGTTGCTCCAGTTGTGCCGCTGCTGGCAACGCAGCTCGTCCAAATCACCAACTAAACTAGTGGGCGGAT